GGGGATGAAGATGTCTTGAAAAAACTCATATTTTTACAGCGCCCCTGTTGAGGTTATTGGTAAATATTCGATGCCCCCCTCCAAGTTTTTAAAATTTCCAGTGCCACCCCCTCCCCCCAGAATTCGGAATCGAAGAAATACAATCCGGAATTCTGTCTTATCGTAGATACAATTTGAAGTTCCTCAAGATGTCTGATATACTCAAGCATGTGCTTCTCCTCAACAAAAATACTGACCTGCTGCTTCTTTCACCTCACTAGCGCCAGATGAAATGGCACCGTCTTAAAAAATAATTTAGATTGGCTCTAGGGGCGAAATTATCAACAGGTTGTTGTTGTCCGTCATTCAGCGTAGTTGGAGTCTTGAACACGTTCATGTAGTAGCCGGGATTTCCTGGATCAGGGTAATGTGCTCGAACCTTAGAGAACGTCGCCCCAACCCAAGGTATCTCCTGGCATATGTTGCAAATGTCTTTGCGTGTCTGTCAAAAATGAATGCAAAAGCCAGGGGTGGAAAATATAGCTAGCGGACCACGGGACCATTGGTCCCAGAAAATTTTTTATTCTGGCAGAAAGGAAAAAGAGCGGGAAGAAAGAGGGGGGAAAGAAAGAAAAGAAGGAAAAGGAAAGAAAGAAAAGAAGGAAAAGGAAAGAAAGAAAAGAAGGAAAAGGAAAGAAAAAGAATAGAAAGAAAGAAAGTAACTGCACCAATAAGGAGCCATTTTGTTCAGGGACAGACACTGGTGCACCCAAAGTAATTTACGAAAGAACTTTGATAGCGGAATGTATAGTAGCCTCATTTGCAGGGTCTTCCCCCCTTTGTTGGCTTTGTATCATACCACTGCCCTGGTTCCAAAACTTGCTATCTGTATCGTTCCCCTCCCTCAATTTCAATTCCCAATTTTTATTTCTATAGGAAGTAGTAACAAGAACAAATTACTTTATTAGCATGATGTTACATACAAGTATTGCTTACGCAAAATGCCCTGCGGCAGTATGTCATACCGCCAGCGCCGAGCAACACAAGGAATAGAAAATGAACTTATTGGTATAAAGGAAGACTTAGTTTACATACGAGTACCCTGTTTACAGTATATAATTGAAGAAGTTTGGGTTTTAGTTAAACAGCCTATTCACTGCCAGCATTCATAGCTTCAAAGCATTTAGATCTCTTCTCAAAACATAAAGAGATGAATTTCGATAATTTTATCACGGTTTCATTATCAGTTGATTTTACTATCTCAACTGGTAAACTGTGTTAATTTAGATCTGCATCATTGACGAGATCACATTTCAAGTAATTTAAAAAAGTTTTCATGAAAACTACTATGGGCCCATAAGAATCCACAGGGAGTTAGGAGGTGATGTTCTGTTTAAACTTCTCCTGACTGGCAGACCTTGCATACTCGGTCTTCTCAAGGAATAAACAAAAGATGGACATTTATTCCTCCCGGCCTGGCCCCCAATATTTCATAAAGTGTCTGCCAGTGATTATATTATATAAAGCACAACTAAATGCAATCATAGTTAATAGAAAATACACATTGCTAGGAAGATTGGTCAACTTCAAGTAGTTTCCTAACCAAACTTTAATTGATGTTAAAAACTTGAAATGTACCTGAAAGTACACAATTTGTTGATCAATATGAAAATCTTACTGTTGAAATCTGAGATTTCCATTGGGCAATTGCTTCATCATACCGAACAAAATGTTCACTCACTGTGAAAGTGCATAAATTTCCTTAAAGGACATAGAGGTGAACAAAAACATAGAACTTACAATACCTTTTGTCCAACTTCCAAATCATGTTTGTTTTCATACTATTAATTATGATGCGAATATTAATACAATTCAAAACCACTTTGGAAAGTACACAAATTCAGTCTTTCCTCACTTGTTTATTTCCATTAAATCCTTTCCTAAGTTGCATTATGAAATAAAATCTTCTACGACTGCCACAGCTTTTATATGGTGCTATGTAATGTTTAATAAACGAGTAGAAGTGTTTTATCACATATAAAACACGACGCGTAGCGGAGTGTTTTATATGTGATAAAACACGAACTACGAGTTTATTAAACAACTTCATAAACGTCTCAGTTAGATCACTGCATTGGCGACATAATTTTCCAAAATAACTTTGTATTAGCTGAGAAAATACAAGTTGAAATTTGAAGAATGTTTTATC